CCCGAGGATACTTTTCCATTGATATTTAGGGAGAGTGGAAGAGAGAGGGAAAGAGAGAGAAACATCAATGTGAGAGAGACACATCAATTAGTTGCCTCCTGAATGCGCCCTGACCAGGGCCCGGGCCATGGAGGAGCCTGCAACTGAGGTATGTGTCCTCGACCGGAATTGAACCTGGGACCCTTCAGTCCGCAGGTCGACGCTCTATCCACTGAGCCAGACCAGCCAGGACTTAACATGTTTCTTATGAACCGTTACACTGGCTGGGCCGCATGCGGCCCGTGAGTTTGACATCCTGTTCTAGCGTGTGCCCGTCTGCTGCCTGTTGCGCTTGCGCTTGGAGCTGACATCAGGGCTGGTGTCTGCCGTGTCACCCGATCGTGCCAACTGAGGTCCACCAGGGTCAGGCTTGCGTCCCTGTGTGCGGCCCTCAGCTGATCAGAGAGAAAAGCTCCAACCCCGTAATTTACACAAAATGTACATTTCAGGGAGCCTCCTGGCTGGAGGGCTGGGCGCGGGGGCCGGGGACAGGGTGTGGGCCGCTCAGCATCTGCTGACCCCCCAGCCCTTCGGGCCAGCCCTCCATGTCCGGCCCAGGCCTGTCACCGCCCATGGAGAATTCTGTCCCCAGCCTTGGTCCTCTGCACGCGGCAGAAGCGGGACCAGCTGCCCTGGAGGTGGCGGGCACGGGTGTGGGCATGGGGGTGGCCCCGGCCCCCCCGCCTGTGCCCGCATTGGTTGCTGCGTTGCCCGGCACTGACTGGCCCTGTCCTTGCAGCAGTCCTGTGTCAACTGCGGCCGGGAGGCCCTGAGCGAGTGCACTGGCTGCCACAAGGTCAACTACTGCTCCACCTTCTGCCAGCGCAAGGTAGGCGCCTCCCCACGGGGCGAGGGGGGGGGCCTGCTCACCGTGGCCTTCGGCCTTGTGGTCAGCGCCCCAGCCCAGGGCCCCTTTGTCTGTTCCCACCGTTCGGCCTTCCATCGACAGAGGTTAAATGGGTGTTTTCCCGGGGCCTCGAGGCCGCCTCGCCGGGCCCCACCTGCTCTCTCCTCGGCCTGTTTGGGGATTTCTACAAAGGAGGATGGCGGTGGGAGGACGGGCCACACAGCTACGCGTGTCACTCAGTCTCTCCCCGGCCAGGGACGCACCCGTGGGGCCCAAGCACTGTCCGTTCTCAGCAGAAGTCCTCGGGTGGGCGACCGAGCAGGGCCGTGTGGGTGTGGCACGTGGCAGGGCAGGGGCTTCCTG